CTGCATCATTGCTTCTGTGACATTTTCATTTTCATCTTAAATCCATTGCGTTCTTGTCATAGATTATTCTTAATAAATTCAAAATAGGCTTATATTTTATGGAGAATTCAAATCCGAATTTTCAAATGATTTCTCCTTTTTCTTGCAGTCAGTCTATTGCTTTGATTCCAACGGAATCCAGGTGTGTGGTGGGGTTTTCTCTGCCCGCCTATCTGTAAAGGGGGGTCCACAGGTGTTAGAAGAGGTCTGTCAGAGACTGCTCGCGTAGGTAGGTATCAATAAAGAAAGGGAGCAAAGGGAATCGGACATTGTTGAGCCTGCACAACTGGGAAACTGAACCCAATAGTGGGCCTGCTTCACTAGGAAGCCACAGCTCCCCACACTCCCCAGGGGACAACCAGTCCATTCCCCACAGATTACCGGGGGGCAGGGGGGGCGGGATAGAACAATAAAGGGGAAATTCCTCTACTGGGCCTATGCCCAGTGAAAACCAAGATGGCACAGGGGGAGGTCCATCCACTTTGAGGCATGTGCAGTAGGAACTACTAGTAAGATGATGACCATGAGGGGGAGTGCTAGTCTGTGAAAAGGATCAAATTGAATGAGGGACACACTCTCTCTCTCTCTCTCTCTCTCCCCGCCCCTGCAACATGCTCTCTATTTGTTTGCATGTTCTCTCTCAGAGCAGCCATGTGGCCCCAGCAGCTGCCTGGGGCCACGGAAGACCAGGCAGGTTTCAAGTGCCAGTCCGGGCACAGCACCAGCCAGAGCACAGCCAGGAGTAGAAGCTAAGCTGGGATGGGGACAGAGACATGGACTGAAACAATGGGCAAAGGTCTGGACACTGACCCTATTTCTGGGCCAGATGAAGACAAGGCTGAACAGATAGAGATGAGACACCAAACCTGAGCACCTGAGCCAGGGACAGTGCTTTGTGTCTGCCACAGCTTCAGTAAACCTTACCACTAAGCCACAACCTTCGTACGTGGGTCCTGGAATGCTTTCCTTGTGACTCCATGAAAGGGCTTCATTCCCACTGACAACATCACCGTTGGCTTCCAATCAGAACCTCTCAAACTAAGATGTAAAAAGGGAAAAGTTAAGGTCTCTAGGCATTCTCTTCCTCCTGGTAAGTTCCCACTTGTGTGTAGGAGGTAGAAATGGATTTAGAATTGGAGGTGGAGGTAACAGGAGGCTTCAACTCAATGCTAAGTGATTCGGTTTCTGTAATTCTTGGGGCACTGGCAAGGCTGTCGTTAGGAGCAGGCACACCCCTGCCCCTGTATTTGATTTTAATGGACGTCTCTCTCCACCAAGACAACCTTAAGTAGGTGGACAAAACCCTCAGCTCTCTCATTTGGGGCCCTCACTGCTGGGTTTTACCCCCCAGAAGCCATATGTCCCTGAGGCTTTTTGCTCTCACTACATAAATTACAGCCTTCTTTCCTCTGTACTCTAAAACATTCTTATCTTTCCTACAAATGATTGTGCATTTCTGGAGATCTGCTTTTTCTCTAAGTCCTCCAGGTAAACGTTACTTTCCTGGAGCTGCGGAATCATTCCATGGAACGTTCCTTTTAATGCTGCTCAAACAAGGGAAAACTTTCTCCAGGCCTGGCATCTGCTGACAGGCACAGCATATGAATTGCGCTGGGTCACCGCCCCGTCCTTCCCCTGGAGCTCCATTCACCACCACAGGACTCAGAGCTGATCAGAAGAGCCCTTCATGCCATGTTCACTTCAGACCAGTAACTCAGGTGGCGCTGGATCTCGACCTCAGTAAGGTGACGCTGTCCTGCCTGCCAGGTTCCATGGCTGGAGTCAGAGGCAGTCTGTCAACATTGTAGGGTTCTGTGGTGAATAGAATACCCATCACATCATGTACCATGGTTAACTTTCCTCCTCCAACTTTCTCTCATGCTACCAGTTACGAGTACTTACTATATGCAAACACCATGCTGAGATTTCACATGCATTATTCCATTTAATCCTTCTGGCAACTCTATAGAGATAAGTGCTATTGTTACCACCCCATTTTATAGGTGGGAAAACTGAGCTGAGAGGTTGAGTGACTTAGCAAAGGCCACACAGCTTGGGCTTGGGATACAGAATCGGGCTTTCTCAGCCTTGGTTTCCAGGCAGTCTGTGTACCTTTCAGGGGGCATTTAAGGGAAGGTGGTGGTATGGGCCTGTCCTCCCTCCAGGTTGACCAGGAACTCAGCATCGGTGTCTCGATACATCTGTGCCCAGTCTTAGTCAGCCACC